AGGGTAGTTAGCGACCACCATTCCCTTTCTTGGCTCGCGAATCTCAAAGATCCCTCAGGTCGTCTAGCACGATGAAGCCTTCTGCTACAAGATTTTGATGTCACTATCATCTACAAATCTGGGGGGAAACACACCGACGCCGACTGTCTCTCACGTGCACTGGTCGAAAATGCCAAAAGTGACCTTGAAGATGACGACACTTTTTTTTCTGCCGTATCAGCAACCCGCTTGGCTGAGCAACAGCGTCATGACTCCGAGCTCATCTCGCTCATAGACTACCTGGAAGGACGCAATTCCCACCTTTCTCGAAGCTTTGAACGCTCGCTACCCTCCTTTTGTTTCCGCGATGGAGTGCTTTATAAAAAGAACTTTCATCCTACACAAGCTATGTATTTGCTTGTTGTGCCAACTACGCTTAGTGGTGACATTTTACGTGCATGTCATGATGAGCCATCGTTCGGACACCTCGGCTATACGCGCACGCTGCAACGGATTCAATGCTCCTACTACTGGCCACGTCTTGCAAAGACTGTGAAGCACTACGTTCGCACATGTCGTGACTGTCAGCGACGCAAGATTCCACCTTTACAACCAGCGGGACAGGACTACTGCAACCAATAGGCTCACCAAAGGCGCCCTTTCATCAGATTGGCATGGACTTGCTGGGGTCATTCCCCACATATTCGTCTGAAAACCGGTGGATTGTGGTCGCTACTGGCTACTTAACACGCTATTGTAAAACAAAGGCACTTTCAAAAGCCACCGCAGCAGACGTCGCCCAATTTTTCGTTAACAGCATCATCTTACGTCACCGTGCGCCAGCTGTCGTCGTAACTGATCGTGGGATAGCTTTCGCCCCAGAGATGCTGCAGGAAGTCTTTTGATTAAGTGGCACATATCATCGTAAAACTACGGCTTACCACCCGCAAGCAAACCGGCTGACTGAACCACTCAATAAGACAATTGCAGACATGCTGTCAATGTATGTGGACATCGATCACAAGAACTGGGACGCAATACTTCCTTACATAAGTTTTGCGTATAACACTGCTGTTCAAGAAAGTACCGGTTTCACACCTTTTCCTTTAGTCCACGGTCGCGCGGTCATGACGATGCTCGACGCCATGCTCCTGCCTGACAACTCAGGAATGTACAACACGGAAGGCGCCAAACTCGAGCAGTGCACAGAAGAGGCCCGTCAACTTGCTCGTCACCGTATTCAACATCACCAAACCGCAGACGCGTGCCGCTACAATCTTCGTCACCGTGAAGTTATTTTCAAGCCTGGTGATGAAGCCTGGGTGTGGACCCCTATCCGACAGCATGGCCGTTCAGAAAAGCTTCTTCGCCGCTACTTCGGCCCTTAAAAGGTCGTACGACGTCTCAGCGATGTCACTTACGAGGTTCTCCCAGAAGGCACTTAGAGACGTTCCTATTTCACCCCGCAAACTGAAGTCATTCCCGTTTCATGGCTCAAACCATACTTTCCGCGCTGTGAATCACCAGTGAGTGACTGACATAATTGGTAACTTCGCGTCTTTCTTTTTGTTTCGTTTTTTCCTTACATTCTTTCCTATTTTTTTTATTTCTCATTTGACTCTTGACTCTACAACCAACTACGTTATTCTGCCTTACGCCATTCACTTTGCTTGCATGATAATTTTCGTCTCATTTTTTTTTGCCTTCATGTACAGCATTGAGACGATAGTTTTTGGGAGAGGGGTTAATGCCACCATTGATAAACGAGCCGCTGCGGCTCATACGCGTTTCGAGGCTGCGAAGAAGAAGAGAACTTTTTCGTTGCTCTTGTTCAGGTGAACTCCTTGCTGTAGGTCTTGTTTTACTCGTGACAATATACACAACCACACATCAGAGGTATAAAGTACACCTCATTGTGTGCGCTTTCAACAAACTTGAGCTTGTGTTTTATGCTGCCTTATTTATGTGCACTGGTCACTTTGTCACATTTATGGTTGACCAATGTGCACACTCTTCTGATTTTGTTTTTGGCCGAAAAGACCACCTTCACATCGTACCTTCCAGCCACCTTTTTTTATTCTGTGCAAAAGCCTGAATACATAAGGGATTGCTACCAACTTAGAACTAGAACTAGTCAGCCCACCCATTTTCAAAAATGGTCCTGTTCCATGTTTGAGCTTCTTTAATAGCCTGATACCTGCAGCCAACATCACAGAGAACGAGTACTCTGTTCATGAAACCATATATGAGCAGTGTGAAAACAATATTTTAACAATGCAGACCAAAAACAATTTGTGATGATTTCATTCTTGACCAGCTTAGAATGACTCAAAGCGGAATTCATGAGCGGCTTTCTGGCCGTAGGTGAAAAGGTGCAACACACATGATCTGCCAAAAATTCTAGCTTCAGATCCAAAAAACTTTAGTTTGTTTTCAACTGGTACTTCCGATGTAAATGTTAATCCCTTTCCTAGAGAATTAAAAGCAATTAATACCGTTACTCTGAAGTCCTCTTTGTGCACATCGCACCCCAAAATTAAGTAGTCATCAACATATCTGAAGACTTTGTAGATTACACTTTGTAGGCAAAATGCCAAGTCTCTATGATGCTTTCGAATATGTCGCTAAGGGCAGCCACTATCTTCGATCCGAAGCATACTCCCTTTGCCTGGATCAACAATTTTCCTTAAATCCCACGTGATTGTTCTCTAAATAAAAGTGCAGAAGCTCAAGGAAAGGCTCGACTGGCTTACCGCATGTGTTGCAAAACGTCACATCATTATTTTCTGTTATGGACTCTTGAACACAGTGCATTAAAGGTGCATGCGGCAATGAGTAATATAGGTTTTGAGTGTCTATGTTGATACCCCGACTGTTTCTTCTGGTATTTGATGTTAAAAATCCCGTGAGGCCCTACGCAGCAAAAAAGGGTCATTTACTACCAAGAAATTTAATATTTGTTACAGATACCTCGCAACGAGGCACTGCCACGCCCCTTTTCCTGAAACAATAAACCTGAAAGGAACCTCTTGAGGGTTTTTGCTGTGAAAAACACCTTCCATTTCTTTTCTTTTAAATTCGCAACATCAGAAGCAAGTCTTTCTAGGCTACATTTCTTTAATAACTCGACAGCCTTCTTTTTTACGCTTTCTACACTCATTTGACAATCTTTAGAACACTTTTGCATCCCTGCAGAGGCTTTTTCTACGTATAAAGTCTCCGGTAGAACAACCAAAAAACCCTCTTTGTCCACTTGAACCACTCTTAAATTGTTGTCAACCAAATAACTAGCAGCTCAAGCACTGCATGCACCACAATGAACTGGCAGATGCCTCCCACTGACGTCTCGTGCAGGGATGCAAGCCCATCTTCAGTGGTGCCAAGGTGTTAGGGCGAGCAAAGAGCCAAGGAGCAAGAGAGATCTTGGAGGAATTCTGGATAGCCAGACATAGGCCTGATAAGTGTGTCAGAGACTCATCTGTGTATCTGTCCAGCAAAGAGCCGGATTTCATTTTTAGTAGATAGAAGTCTTGGAACTTGTCACATGGTCATGTTTTTCATTGTACATGTGTTGAGTTTCTTTCAAAAAGGGTGGCGTACTTTTCCAATAAACCAGTCGTTAGTCTGCAATCGTCCTGTCGACTTCATTCTCGTGTATCGTTTTTAGCCTAGTTATAATTTTTCTAAATGTTTTACCTACTAGCCCCTCATCATACGCTCCTCGAGAACTGTTCCAATGATCAACTTCTCTGCTGCTTAAATCATAGATAAACATCATCTTTAATCTTTCAGCTAACTGACCCCATGTCTCTCTTGCCTCCTTCTTTAAATCTAGAAACATGATGGTTCAGCGAACTGGGAGCGTGGGGGTAAACACAGACACAAAGCAAAAAGGAGGCACACAGCACGAGCGCTCAACTAACAACTGGTTTATGCTTACCTTTGATGGACTTATAAGTACACAAGGGTGTGCATGTCAACAGGAATAAGATGATAGTGTGAGCAGCAAGCGTGGCGTTCATTCGAAGCACTTGTCTAGAAATTATCAATATAGTTAAACTTGACGGTGAGTTTAATTATATTGATGATTTGTAGACAAGTGCTTTGAATGGCCACGCTTGCTGCTCACACTGTCATCTTATTCTTGTTGACATGCGCACCCTTGTGTACTTATATGTCCTTCGAACGTGAGAATAAACCAGTTGTTAGTTGAGCGCTCATGCTGTGTGCCTCCTCTTTGCTTTGTGTCTGTGTTTACCCCCGCGCTCCCAGTTCGCTGAACCATCATGAGTTACCAACTAGCCCACCTTTCTATCCTATTGCAATGCGTATCTAGAAACAGTCTGCGGTACTCGGTCGGAGTTATCTTCAGCTCCTTAAGCACCTTCTCTTTGACCTCTGCTCACGAAAAACTTTGCCACATCATTCAGTGCAGGTTTCTTTCCTGACGCCATCGTAGGTGTGCCATGCTTTGGCTGCATGGCTGGTTCGCCATGCAGGGACACGCACAGATGTCAGCTCCTGTTGTGCTTGGCACGCCTCGAGTACAGGCTCCCAAAGAAACCATCAAATCTATTGCCGTGCTTGCCGACCCACTGGAATACACAGTCTGCAATGAACCTTTGTTGCGCAAGAAGGTTCTTTGAGACAAGCGCAGAAATGTTACGTCGTTGCTAACGGAGCAGTCTTTTTACATGCCATCTTTAGTGAGGGTGCCCACGATGAATCCGACACTTAATGCGCCACAAGGAGTGCCTCCAGAGCTGTCGCACGATGATGAAGACAAGATAACGAAGTAGGATAAGAACAATCGTCCTTTCCAGGTTCTCTCTTTTTACTGTATATGTAGGCACTTTTTTGACGCTCACTTTGGAGGGAGAATGCCAAGGTGGCATGTTTCTGGGAAGAGATTAAAACACTGGTTCATGAATGCAAGGCAGAAGTCTACCTTTCCTGTTGCCCCTTGAGTCGTGGCAACAGTATGGTCATCAGAGAGTGTGTGATGTAACTGTGGTGCTCACCTTCGGCTCCTGCTGCATGGCACCGGCCTTGATGGCCACAAGGCAGTCGGCAAACCAACTCATTTGCCGGCCAACCTCCTCCGCAACTGGCTCGGGGAAGCACAAGCACTGGCTCAGCAGCCACAGCACTTGTCTATCACTGCAAAATAAAACAACGAATACTTTCGTACTATTTACCCAGCCTGCAAGCCAAAGTATGTCTCAAGTGGTATTGGGAATGTGATGCCTAACCACAACATGACACTGCACAGTTCTTTGGCTGATGCTTCTTCCTTTTTCCTACCATCTGTTCTCTCTGTCTTGTTAAAAAGACACTACTCTAATATCCCAAGCAAGTGCACCTACCCAAGTAAGTGACCCCTCCCTTCTTTGGGAAATTTCGAATATGCAGCCCCTTCTCCCCTGCCACCTTTTTCACTATATTATTTAATGTTTCTGTTCGCCCACCCAAGAAGAGCAAATGATAACAGTGAATGCATGCATATTTAATAGAGGATTTAATTAGAAGCACAAGTGTGCATTCTTGATAACTATTACACTGCTATCCTAAATTTTGATCCACAATTGCACAAGGACCTCCCCTCCAAATCTTGTCACATTATATTCCTTACCTCGGGGAAGAAGTGCACTGGCTCGAGATTTTACTGCACATTACAATTTCACAATGATGAAATCACCACTCCTATTACGAGAAGTGGGTAACCCAGACCATGAAAAAAAAAAAACACGCAACAACGCTGCTTTGAAGTAAAGTGATACAAATGAGGTTCCCTACCAGCTAGCGATGACACCATTTGATGGCATCTGGAACATATTCTTATGAGACAGAAAATGATTTACAAGGTATTCAAAGGGTTGGAAGGTTTCAACACAGCAAGTTTGAAAAAATTCCATTATTCCTATGCAGCATAAATATGAAGAAAGACAAATTTGTGACATCAGACTGACGATCCCATGCTGGCATTTTGGTGTGAAGTTGTGACGATAATGTTTAACCTTCACTTATTTTTTCAATAAGCAAACTATGTGGCAATGTTAATAGTGCCAGATGAAGAGACTCGGACAAGAGGCTGTAGCTAAGTGTATTTACAGAAGAGTACTCGGGCGCTTCACTTTAACGCAGCGGCACAATACATTCTCCAAATTGCCCTTTTCCATGTTCAGCTATCCTATGTAAGACAATGATATGAGACAAATGGGTTTAAAATGATGACATGTGGTTTTTATTGGTGCAAGGGCCATACTTGGCCAAAGAGCACCATAAAAAATACATTAAATAAATAGCAATCATGCGTGGTATGCGGTGACATATTAATGATCTGACTATGGTGCTGTTATGTGGCTGCATAGAGGCCTAAAACTCCACGCCCTACGGCGGGTAAAACCTATAAATATTTAAAATAATGAGAGTGATATGAAATGTGTGTAACAAAAATGAATGACAGTGATCCTTGAATGTGAAATGGGGTATATGGCCTAAACAGAAACGCCTCATCGACAGCCACTGTGTCCAACGGTCGCGAGGCAGGTACTGTTTTAATGTTCCAGAGCAACAGCAACGTCTACTCAAAAAGGTAGTGCTACGAGGATGCCAGGATATATGACGTGAAAACTATTTACATCCTTTAAAAATGCAAACAATGACTGATAACTAAAAAGCGGTTTCCTACCTATGGCCATTAATGGGTGCAAGGGCAATGGCGGAAGGGAAATGGAAAGTGTTTTTATTGAATTGTATCTAATTCCTTGCACTGCATCAGTGGTTAACCGAACTTATCACATGCAGGTGGGTCGCCACCAGACAAAATGTGTGATTGTGTACTGTGCGTATGTCCTATCCTTAATCTGGTAAGTGTTACTTCTGTGTAGCACGACTTTGATATTGGCGACCAATTCGTGAGATGCGGCTTGATGGGGTGGAGTTTATTTTGTGCTTGCCTATCCCATAAATGCTGCCAGTAATCGCACACCTTTTGTTCAAGGAAGGGTTTGAGGTCAAGCGCAGGGAGAGCTATAGATGTATTGGTGGTGGCATTCTAGTGAGAAGAAACAGCAAGTTGATCTGCTAACACGTTTCCTTGAATCACGCGGTGTCCTGGCACCCAGAAGACTACGACATACTGTTTCTGTGCATAGATCATGCATAAAAGTGAGTACACAGAGACAAGGACAGGGTTCGTGTGTTTTTTAAAGGTTGTCAGAGATGTTATCACGCTTAGGGAATCAGTGTATATCCCCGCTTTTTGACAGTTCTGATTCTTTGATGTGCTGTATTACCAATAATATTGCGTATGCCTCTGCGGAGCAGATGCCCGTATTGTGGTGCAGAACACCTACATCGGAAAAGGATAAACTGACCGGTGCATAAGACACAGAATTACAAGTTTTTGAAGCATCAGTGAAAAATTCCAGACATGAATATTTATGATGAGTTCAAGGAAGTGCGTGAATATGTGCAATAGGTGTGTTTTAGAAACTTCAACGAAGCACATATCACACTCTATGATCCGCCACTCCCATGGCGGGACATATACAGCGGGAGCAGCCAAACAGTGTTCACAAAGTGGCACACCCATCTCTTCAGGTAGACTGCTCACACGAAGTGCGTAGGGCTGTCTCATGGCTGGGTGGTTGTCAAAAAGCACAGAACTAGACAAGTCATTGATGGTGGAGTGTACAGGATGTTCGTTGTTCGCGTTTATTTTAAGAAAGTATAGAAAGGATAGGTAAAATCTCTGGAGATGTAGTGGCCACTCGTTCGATTCAACGTACAGGCTTTATACGGGGCTGGCTCGAAAAGCACCTGTAGAAAGAGGAATTCCAAGATGGCGAACAGGGTCCAGGATCTTTAGGGCAGTTGGTGTTGCAGACTAGTACATTATTACACCGTAGTCAAGGCACGTTCGTATCAGACTTTTGTATAAATTCATGAGACACTTCTTGTCACTACTTCATGAAGTGCGTGACAATACTTTGATGGTTTTTAGGCACTTATTTTTTATGTATTTGCTATGTGGTATGAATGATAGTTTGGTGTCTAATATTAGGACCATAAATTCATGCTCACTTTTTACAGACAGACCTTGACCATGCTGATGAATGCCTGGATCAGAAAAAATGCCTCTCTTTCTAGAAAGTAGCCCTGCCGCGGTGGTCTAGTGGCTAAGCTACTTGGCTGCTGAACCACAGGTCGTGGGATCGAATCCCGGCTGCGGCGGCTGTATTTTCGATGGAGACGGAAACGCTGTAGGCCGGTGTGCTCAGATTTGGGTGCACGTTAAAGAACCCCAGGGAGTCTAAATTTCTGGAGCCCTTCACTACGGCGTCTCTCATAATCATATGGTAGTTCTGGGACGTGAAACACCACATATCAATCAATCAATTTCCGGAAAATAGGATGCAAGTGCTTTTTAGTGTGTTAAATACAAACCCGTTTTTATCTGCCCATTCCAAAACTTTGTTCTAACCCAATTGAACCTGTAGACCACACATTGTAAGGTTGCATGATTTAAATCCGACCTGTACATCATCAATATATGTGCAATAAAACATAAATCGTCGGATAACGAGGTGCACATAATTCATTTTGACTATAAAAAGTGTACAACTCGATACACCTCCTTGTGGCACTCCTGTCTCCTGAACAAAAATGTTTGAGGCCCACTCTAACACAGAATGTCCGACTGAATAGATAACTTTCAATCATGAAAAACATTCTACCCCACACACCCAAGTGGGACAGGTCTCTAAGTATGCCAAAGTGCCATGTAGTGTGATAAGCCTCTTTCATATCGAGGAACACAGTACGAAAAAATTGGTTATGAACAAAAGTGTCACGGATTTGTGCCTCGATACGAATAAGGCGGTCTGCCGTGGATTTTCCTTCTCTAAACCCGCACTGGTGTAGGTCAAGCAGACCGTTTGTTTCGAGAAAATGTATGAGTCTTCTATTTATGATCTTTTCGAAGACCTTAGACAACTGGTAAGGGTGATAGGTCTGCAAACGGAAACTATGAGTGGGTCTTTGTCTTGTTTTTGAATTGAAATAATGACTTCTTTCCAAGCAATTGGGATCTTGCCGAAAATCAAACAGCGTTGTACAGAGAAAAGAGGGCATTTTGAGTTTCAGAGGGCAGATGTTTTAGCGTTTCATACATGTTGGCAAATTACTAGCCCGTCCACGAGATGCACGTGTCCTGGTGTGGACAGTGTGAAAGATGATGACTACGTAAGTAGATTGAGTGCCGCTCGTGAAGTTTGGCCTGTGTGGCGTTTAGTAGCCTGTATGGTGTTTGAGTGTAGCCTGTGTGGCATGTATTTTATTATGTGTCAGTAAACTATGCTTGTTATTACGAGGTCGAAGACAACACTTCAGAAGTGGGATGGCAATCTAGTCGCCAATGAATGAGTGAATGTGAGTTTTACTAGTGCATGAAACTGGTAACCCTAACCCTAGAATTGGACGCACTGACGATCGAGTCAACCTGACTGGCGGTGGAGACGCGGATTCCAACCACGGAGACACTATCACAGCCCGTGAACTGCTACGAGCCCTTCATGAGAAGTACAGACTGATATTGACCGTGCTGGAACGACTGATTTTGGCCGGCGCAGCGCAGCCAAAATCAGTTGGCACAACCAGCGCCAACATTCCTGATGATCACCAACTTTAGCCGCAACATCAGCCCCTTTTACAGCTCGGAAGATGCTCCTTCAGCGTGCGAGTGAATTGAAAATATTAGTTGAATGTCAACACTTCATGGGTGGTCAGCTGCCTGGAAACTGCCAAGGCCCAACTGGTTGGAGCTGCCAATGACTGGTACCATTTGAGGAGCTCTCAAATCGGATCGCGGGAGGACTTCGAGGTACATTTCCATCGTACGTTTGTCAACCATGGCTCCAGAGTTTATGCGACAGGCCATCGTCTGCTCTCGACCGGAAGAACCGTGGTGGAAACAGACGACGCCTCGAGTAAACACGAATTAGTAGTCGCGCCTGCTGCAACTCCCAAAAGACACGTGAACCCGTTTTCCAAATGAACCTAGTCACACGTCGAGCCTGTGTGGTGAGCGTTTTAATAGGTGTCAGTGAACTATTTTTTTTATTACGAGGTCGAAGACAACATACACAACTCAGTCG